CAGCCAGGAAGCTTACAGCACTTCGCCGTATCTCGCATCTGCTTGACAGTAGGGGTTGCAAGATTTTGTACGAGGCGCAAATACACTCATACCTTGAGTATGCTCAGCTTTCTTGGTTCGCCTGCCCTCCCCTCTCATCTGAGACTGCTTGACAGAGTGGAGAACAGAGCATGACGTCTCATCTCTCGCCTGGACCAATCTTGGATAGATTTGTTATTTCAGCAGAGCCTTCAACACAGGAGGGATATGGGTGGCCTTACTGTTGTTGTGGAAAATTGCATTTATCGGAATGTAACTAATTATGTACATAACAGTAAATGATAACAAAGATAATTATTATTTATCAATGTTACATAGACAAGTAGGAATTTGGGACACCTAGGTCGCAAAAAAATGTCCCCCTTCGATACCAACCACTGTCATAACCACAAGTTGCTCTGGACCTATTAATTATAAATGAAATATACATGCACCAGGAATGCTGGTAAATATATAAATTTGTGGACTGTATATTAAAAATAATAAATGATTATATATATATATAAGCACATTATGCAACAGAAGGAGAATATATCTTAATCATAACACTCACCAATTTGACTGGAGATTAAGTTGTATCATACTCAGAAAAACCTCACTAACTAAATTTATGAAAACACTGGCCAGAATTATACACAAATCTAGAGAGCTTATCTGAGGTTCCTGGAGAGGTCTTGTCCAGTCGCCTGATATCTCAAGTTATGCAGGAATGCACATCCACCAATTTCGCTTCCTATTTGAGAGGTGTCAACACAATTTTAACCTCTAGAGCACAAAAATTTCTACCCATTACACCAACGTTCTAATACAAATTCAAAACCAAGATGGCGAGTCTCCTGCCCAGACGCAGGCTTTCCGTTTTCTATGACAAATATTATTAAATACAGTATAGGCCATCTATTTACCTATAAATTACCGTATTTCCGGAAAATATATACAGTATTTTCCACAGTTATGTACAAGGCCAATATTGTCAAAGTGCCACACTTGGATCCACTTCGAGGACAGCTTGAAACAAGCTTTTATGCCACAAGACGGGCAGAAAGCAGCAACTTCACTCTGGCTGTACCCTTCTCCAGAACATCATTCCATCTGAGATCATATATACCCAGGATGACTCGAGTATGGAACACATTTGTACAGCATAATGATGTCAACGAGATAACGTCAGTTGATCAAATGAAAATGCTGGCATACAGATGGCTCCAACTTCATCCTGTTCCCTACTTGTATGTTTCATAACAATAAAAATGTTTTCAAATGAGCGGATGTAGGTAACAGCTCCTAGCTTGTCAATAAAGTTAGGAATCCTTAACCTTGTCAAACCGTGTAAAAAAAAAAAAGAGAGAGGGATAAGGATTTGATGATCCTGTGGGTTAGAACGTCATGTGATTTTCGCTCATCATGAGGCTGGCCAAAGAGACATGGGTTCGAGTCCTCGGCCAGTCGAGCTCCATTTTTTTTTTTTTGGCGTTACCAAAAAATCAAGTCTTCCCATAAACACTAAGTGTAAATGTCTCCATTGCACGACCCACTTATTACCTGGAGTTTACCTGGAGAGAGTTTCGGGGGTCAACGCCCCCGCGGCCCGGTCCGTGACCAGGCCTCCTGGTGGATCAGCGCCTGATCAACCAGGCTGTTGCTGCTGGCTGCACGCAAACCAACGTACGAGCCACAGCCCGGCTGATCAGGAACTGACTTTAGGTGCTTGTCCAGTGCCAGCTTGAAGACTGCCAGGGGTCTGTTGGTAATCCCCCTTATGTGTGCTGGGAGGCAGTTGAACAGTCTCGGGCCCCTGACACTTATTGTATGGTCTCTTAACGTGCTAGTGACACCCCTGCTTTTCATTGGGGGGATGGTGCATCGTCTGCCAAGTCTTTTGCTTTCGTAGTGAGTGATTTTCGTGTGCAAGTTCGGTACTAGTCCCTCTAGGATTTTCCAGGTGTATATAATCATGTATCTCTCCCTCCTGCGTTCCAGGGAATACAGGTTTAGAAACCTCAAGCGCTCCCAGTAATTGAGGTGTTTTATCTCCGTTATGCGCGCCGTGAAAGTTCTCTGTACATTTTCTAGGTCGGCAATTTCACCTGCCTTGAAAGGTGCTGTTAGAGTGCAGCAATATTCCAGCCTAGATAGAACAAGTGACCTGAAGAGTGTCATCATGGGCTTGGCCTCCCTAGTTTTGAAGGTTCTCATTATCCATCCTGTCATTTTCCTAGCAGATGCGATTGATACAATGTTATGGTCCTTGAAGGTGAGATCCTCCGACATAATCACTCCCAGGTCTTTGACGTTGGTGTTTCGCTCTATTTCGTGGCCAGAATTTGTTTTGTACTCTGATGAAGATTTAATTTCCTCATGTTTACCATATCTGAGTAATTGAAATTTCTCAACGTTGAACTTCATATTGATGAGGAATTTACATCATAACCCATATTTTCCGAGTAGCAAAACTAAATAACTGCAATCTTGCTCTAGCCTTGTACAATGTCTTCTTGAAACTTGTGATGACCTCTTCATCTATAGAACTGGAATTACCCAGATCCTCGTCTTCTTCTGGTGTTGTATGAACCTTACGGGGCTAGCGTTCCCGTGGATTTAAAGATTTTTATCAACATACTTGTTTTCCTCCTTCGCTACACCCCTCCCCCTCCAAAAAAAAATTTTTCAACCGGCACGGATGAAACATTAGGCATGGTTTCCTTACAGCTACTGTCCCTATTCACATATCAGTAAGTAAGTACTAAATCAATATAAGTATTGATACACACTTAAAATTGTACTAATTATACTTTTTTTTTGTTTGTAGCCCCTCTACTATAAATTGTAGTAATTATAATTTTTTTGCTACCCCCTCTTTTTGTATTAGTGTATAATTAAAATTCACCACTCCATAACGTGTGTCTAATTTTAAGTAGTAATAACTTTATTTTTACAAGTACATGTACAAGGTATACAGTCCTAGCTGACACCAGTGACATACTACTATATAGAAAGCCGCTTGTTATGCAGACTATTTCCGGCAAATTAGGTCACTTTTGTCCCAGGATGCGACCCACCAGTCGACTAACACCCAGGTACCTATTTTAGTGGTGAGTGAACATGGACAACAGGTGTAAGGAAACACGCCCAGTGTTTCCACCCTTGCTGGGAATCGAATCACGGTCCCTCACTGCGTGTACAGCGAAAGCTTTGCCAACCAGGCCACGAGTCACCCTACGTAATACCTGGAGAGAGTTTCGGGGATCAACACCCCCGCGGCCCGGTTTGTGACCAGGCCTCGTGATGCATCAGAGCCTGATTAACCAGGCTGTTACTGTTGGCCGCACGCAAACCGACGTACGAACCACAGTCAGGCTGGTCAGGTACTGACTAGGTGCCTGTCCATCGCCTTCTTGAAGACAACCAGGGGTGTATTTGTAATCCCCCTTATGTATGCTGGGAGGCAGTTGAACAGCCTTGAGCCCCTGACACTTACTATGTTGTCTCTTACTGTACTCGTGTCGCCCCTGATTTTCATAAGCATTAAGATTAGTCTGCCCGAAATACTCATGCATGCTAGAGGCATTCTTTGTGTTTAACAATACTACTTGGACACTACACATTGTATATTGTGGAAAGAAAGAATTTTTTGAAATTGAATTTGAATTTTGTACTGGGTGTTAGTCAGCAGTTGTGGATCACGTCCTGGATCAGATTAAGGACGTCAGTGGAAATAAGACCGACAGTTTCCAATATCGCTAAAGCTCCCGCTTGGTGGCTAAAGCTCCCGCTTCACACACGGAGGGCCCGGGTTCGATTCCCGGCGGGTGGAAATTCCGACACGTTTCCTTACACCTATTGTCCTGTTCACCTAGCAGCAAATAGGTACCTGGGTGTTAGTCGACTGGTGTGGGTCGCATCCTGGGGGACAAGATTAAGGACCCCAATGGAAATAAGTTAGACAGTCCTCGATGACGAACTGACTTTCTTGGGTTATCCTGGGTGGCTAACCCTCCGAGGTTAAAAATCCGAACGAAATCTTATCTTATCTTATCGCTCTGCATTCTACTGATCTTCAGTTTATTGTATGTCTTGTTCATCAGTACTGAAATTTAGATCGAGTAGTTGACCAGTATTTGCAATAACCTCCACAAACATTATAGTAAGTTCTTTTACTAAAACTTCCAACAAATTGCTTGCAAAAATTACAAAAGTAGTTGTAAGTTGTAATTAGTTATCATTTTTTTTTAAAGCTGCCCGAAATGTTCTGCATAACCAGAGGTTTTCTGTGAAGTATATCAGTAATGTCGACTTTTTCTGTAACGTGTAAATCATACAGTTGTAGAAATTAAAATCGTTGTCATTATTACTGTCATTATCCTAGCAGGCTAATACTATGGGTTAAAAATCCCTCAGGGAAGGTTCCTTGATGTTGGTGAGGGGCTCTTGATTTAGGGAATTGGATCTGTGCTCCAGTTCCCCGAATTAAGCCAGAATGCCTTCCACCCCCCCCCAGGCGCTGTATAATCCTACAGGTTTAGTGCTTCCCCCTTGATTATAATAATAATAATATGGGTTAAAAAATCTGAAGAAAATCTTATGACATCAAGAACCCTTGAGGAAATAAGTTACTTTGATTTTTTGGGGTTAATATACGTAATTTACACATGTTTCTAAGTAAGACAATTGCAGTCAACCAAAAATTGTGTAAAATTGTTCCAAAGTAACATATTTCTTAACCTAACTACCGGTTGCTATAGCACCATCCTATAAAATATATATAAAATATATAAGGTGAGAAATATTGCTATAATTTAAGCACTATCTACCATGCACATTATAACTAGAAAATAAAACTAATATATTTTAATGGAAGGATATAGCACTAAGGGTAATTTATAGATAATATTGTAATAAGAGAGATGGGTAAGAGAAGGTGGATATAACCATGGTAGATCATAACAACACTGGTGTAGCTGGTCATGGCAGTCTTCCCTCTTGCCAAGTTAGGAACTTTAGTTATTAAACAAGTGTCTAAACCACTTGCTAGCATTGCCAAAAACCGGGCTAAGAATAGCCATTTCTTCAGGACCTATGTGCTGATGCCTCCAGCCCAGTGTAAGTAAAAGGTTAGCAGGGAAAATATCAAATATAATGAACCGGTTTATTTACCTTGTTTTGAAGTTTTAACAAAAAATTAAGCACATTTATCGTAAAAAGTGTAACAAAACATTTAGTGGTTTGTTAGTTGTTGCTATTAGTGGATACGGTAAGTAATATAGAATTTAATTTTTCTGAGCTTGAGGGAAAGTACCAAGGTTCGATTCCCGGGTCAGAGGAGAAAAGATACGATAAACCTTAATTATACCCTTCAAGGAGATGGGGGGGGGGTTGAATGGCTCTTAATCTGAGGAATTAGAGTTTTCCTTCCTTTCAGATCAAACTAATTTTCTCCAATTTCCCCCAGTGGACCCTTGTGGGTTTAGCGCTTAGCTCTGTAATAATAATACCCACCCCTTTGGGTTATTCCAGGTAATCTGCACACACATTATTATGCAAGACTTGTAATCATCCAAAGATTGTGTAATTGTACATGAATAAACTTATTACAGCATTTACTTAACCTTTATGGGCTTAGTGTTTTACCATGAATAACTATAATAAGGTTAGTGTTCACCTACTTGGCGAAACTCGACTATTTATTTGTTTTTTATACACAAGATATTCATACTCAAGCACAAATATTTATTTATTGCACAAATTGTTATTTTAGGAAATATTAACCGTGCAATACATTTACAAGTAGATGATCATTAGTGGTTTATTGTGTGGTTTGCCAAACAGTACTAACATTCAGACCCGTTATTCTAGTAATATTCTGTTTATAAATAACGTAACCTGCATGAGTAAATTATGTGATTTGATGTTTTCCAACATAATTCTCAGCTTTAGTGAATAAGACGAGTGTTTTCAACAGTATGGGATGGTTCTTGCATCAGTAAGCTGAGTATCATCGATGGATTACTATATCTTAGATTGTGTTTAGGTTTGCATGATCTACATTAATTTAGGTTAGGTTTGGTTGGCTTGTTTTGGGTTAAGTTAGGTTAGGTTGAGTTTGATGGGGTTAGGTTAAACTTCGTTGAGTTAGAACCCATTCTAACCTAATGTAACCTAACTTGACCCAAAAACTTAATTTTTTTTTTTAATGTCCCCCCCCTCCCCCCCAAAAAAAAATGAAGTCCATTGCAAAACCCACTTAGGTCCTTGTTTACTTTATGCCTGGGTGTGTTTTTATTATGTAAATTCTCCACTGTTAAATGCATTGTGGAGTGGAGATGTTTAGATTTAGTGCCTATGGGGAAAAGACCATATTGTTATCCAACCTAACGTAACTGATAGTTTTGTGGCTGGTCTAGGTTAAGTTTGGCTGGGTTAGATTGGGTTCATTATTCAATTTATTTATTAAAACAAAGCCTCAGTTTCCATTGAAAATCATACTTGATAGGAAAGAATTTATGTAATGATAAGCAAGTGCAGCCTCTCCTCACTTAACGACAGAGTCCTGTGTTCCTAAGACCACGTCAGTAAACGAATTTGTCACTAAGCAAGGAGCATACTATAGTGGTAGTGGGTTTGTGTCGACCATCTTTGCACCATTTATAATATTAGTATATTTTTAAATGTTTATACAGTAGTGTACTGTGTATTGTAGTAAACAGAATATAGGGAATCAGCTCTAATATACATTATTTAGTTCTGCATACTGGTCAGAGAGCCTGTCATAAGTATGAGTCATTGGTAAATGAGTAGTACTTCGCTAAGTGAGGAGAGGCTGTACTTTCGTAATGATATTCTTATTTTCCTGTTATCACCTGATTAACTGTTTCATACTAAAATTATTTTTCCCATGGAATAGATAGCATGCATGATATTTATAATATGGTACATTAGTGGATTTCTGTCCCAGGTAAAAATAACAATGATTCCCCACTTAATATTATACACTGTTTAACCCCTTGACTGTCGCAACCCCCAATCCTGAGGTGTCTCCTGGAGTCGCAAAATTTAAAAAAAAAAAAAATTATTTTTTCTTATGAAATGAGAGAGAATCTTTTCCCGGTTGTAATGACACCAAAAAAAAAACGAAATTTGAGGGAAAACTGACGGAATTATGCTCTCGCGAAGTTAGCGACCTCGGCGATATTTACAAATCGGCGATTTCGCCGACTTTGAGCCCTATTTTCGGCTAATTCCGTTGTTCCAGTCGACCAATCTCATAGCTATTTCTTTAGAACTCCATTTTTTCTATCGATTGAGTACAAGAAACTGCCCATTTACCGATTTCAACTACCCAATAATGTGGTCAGAAATTTGCAATTTGGCCAATTTCACGAAAATTAAAAAATATGACAATTTCAAAATAAGGTCTAGAATGAACAATGCAGACATTCCTGGCTCTAAAATAACATTTTCTTTGTTCAACAGTCATGTCTCCAGGCCCCTCTGATATTATTCTTGCTTTCTATTTTGAATTTTAATTCAAACAAAAAATAGAAGACTTACTATTATGCAGACTACTGCAATACTGTAATAATTGTATAAATAACATCAACCCATTCATGACTGCATATTAGAATGGCTAGTTGGACATTTATTGGACAATCACATCATTTGTTTACTTTTGAACATTGGCAAAAATCAAACATTTCCCCTACTTTGAGCTCCATTTCCAGGTTCTTTTTATAGTAAAATCAATCAAAATCACCTCTATTTCTATATGTTTTTCATTCTATCAAATGAGACCAAGAAAACGAGAATACAACCATAAATGCTATACGAAAATAGACCACAAATTCGGCATTTGAATTAAAAAAAAACGGTCGGAGTTTTTTTTTCTCATTATGCACTGCGTGCTCCAGGATTTTTTTTACATGGTGCACACTGACCACACAGACCCATTCTCTCACATGTGGGCCTACCAGCTTTCTCCTGCTTGATTCGAAGCCGCTAGAATTTATGAGTATATATACGTCAAACACGGTACCTCGTAAGACGTATATATACAGCCGCGACAGTCAAAGGGTTAATATATGTACTGTACAGTGGAACCTCGGTTTTCGTTTGCCCTGGTTTTCGTCAAATTCGGTTTTCAACAACTTATTTCATCAAAGTATTGTCCCAGTTTTCGTTCATCACCTTGTTTTTGTCCGTTGTACCGAACGTGTCCGTCTGCCTGCGCCCACACAAAGCATCCCATGCACGCATTCTGAGTCAGTCTGGCTTTGTTTCTTGTCAAGTGAACATTACCCTGCGCATTCATACAAAACGTTTCATAATAATCCATTGTTTTTTGTGCTTGTTTATTGACTGCGACTGCTAAATAAGCCACCATGGGCCAAAGAAAGTTCTGAATGCTAGCCCTTTGATAAAGAAGGTGAGAAACATGATAGAATTCAATGGTGGTAGAGGGTGGTAGTGATGGTGGTAGAGGGTGGTAGTGATTGTGGTAGAGGGTGGTAGTGATTGGGGTGGAGGGTGGTAGTGTTTGGGTGGTAGAGGGTGGTAGTGATTTGTGGTAGAGGGTGGTGTGATTGTGGTAGGGGTGGTATGATTGTGGTAGAGGGTGGTAGTGATTGTGGTAGAGGGTGGTAGTGATTGTGGTAGAGGGTGGTAGTGATGGTGGTAGAGGGTGGTAGTGGTTGCGCATTCATACGAAACGTTTCATAATAATCCATTTTTTTTGTGCTTGTTTATTGACTGCGACTGCTAAATAAGCCACCATGGGCCAAAGAAAGTTCTGAATGCTAGCCCTTTGATAAAGAAGGTGAGAAACATGATAGAATTCAATGGTGGTAGAGGGTGGTAGTGATGGTGGTAGAGGGTGGTAGTGATTGTGGTAGAGGGTGGTAGTGATGGTGGTAGAGGGTGGTAGTGATTGTGGTAGAGGGTGGTAGTGATTGGGGTGGAGGGTGGTAGTGATTGTGGTAGAGGGTGGTAGTGATTGTGGTAGAGGGTAGTAGTGATGGTGGTAGAGATAACTTCTCCCCTCCCTTCCTCGCCGTTTTCCATATGCCAACTAGAGTCTTCAATAAAGGTAAAAGTGATTTAAATATTCATTTATCCATTTCATTAGTGCTTTATTTTTATTTCTCATTGTTTTCTGTATGTAAAACTGTAGTTATTCTCTATAAAATGTATTTTTTGTTAATATTTTTGGGTGTCTGGAACGGATTAATTGTATTTGCATACATTATTTCTTATAGGAAATATTGCTTCAGTTTTCGTTGAATTCGGTTTTCGTCAGACTCTGGAATGAATTAAAGACGAAAACCAAGGTTCCACTGTACATAGTACGTATATAAGATCTGGTCATGGAGAAGATAAAACCTAGAACCATAAACTGATAACAGATTTAATGTATGGTAGTTTAGAATTGTCATATAGCCTTAGAGATAAAAAAAAAAAAAAACTGTGATTGTGAAAATTTGTGTGGACTGCCTCCAAGTGAGTCGCCTACCCTGGCAAACTCTGTTGACACCGAGCTCTGAGGTGGGTACCTCAGCCTCACAAGTGGCTTATAGGACAGATTTTCACAAATGATTGGTGTTGCAAGAAACTCGCCTGCATGCACGTATAAAGGACTAACTTACTTGGTGTTGCAGCATATATCCTGATCTTCAACTTCCCTAAGCTTAGCCTTAGCCCCTTTGGACTTTCCCTCAGAAACCACGTGCAACCAGGAGCCTTAATTCCTGCAATATTCAATCGTTATTAGTTACCTGCCTGCACTTCAGAAATTCCTATATCCAAGAGGGTGTGTATCCCCTAGTACAACTATGCAGACACGGACACTAGCTTCTACATAGACGAGAGACACTGGTACTTACGGGGATGCACTCCCATCGCAACACAGGCCCACAGATCAAACTCACTCACAATTTCCCCAGACACTGGCCAGAAATCTACGAGATAAAGTTTGGGGGTCTTGTCTTACTGTATGGGCCTGACGGAGGAGGTCATCTACAGTACATCGAGGTGCCTCTACCACATTTCCCCAGGTCTCAAATGTGAAGACACGTGGGGGGCGCCGTCTGCTGATCACGGGACGTCTTGTT